CTTGCTGTTTCAGTTGACAGAAGACGACTGTTTTCCACAAGGTGAATTCCTCCCCGTATGCATCGCTGTGGCAGTGGGAGGTGGTATGTTTTACTACTTCTTTTCCAATTTGGATGCCTTTTATTTATTTTTCTTGCCTAATTGCTCTGGCCCAAACCTCCAGTACTATGTCGAATAAGAATGGTGAGAGTGTGCACTCTCGTCTTATTCCTGTTCTTAGAGGAATGGCTTGCAGTTTTTCACCATTAAGTATGATGTTGGCTGTGGGTTTGTCATATATGGCCTTCATTATGTTGAGGTACTTTCCTTCCAGCCCTATTTTATTGAGAATTTTTATCATAAATGGATGTTGGATCTTGTCAAATGCTTTCTCTGCATGTAGTGAGGTGATCATGTGATTTTAACTCCTCATCTTGTTAATGTCGTGAATCACATTGATTGATTTGCAGATGTTGAGCCATCTCTGCATCCCTGGTATAAATGCCACTTGATCATGGTGTATGATCCTTTTAATATATTGCTGTATTTGATTTGCTAATATTTTGTTGAGGATTTTTGCTTCTATGTTCATCAGCAATGTTGTCCTCTAATTTTCCTTTTTTGTGTTGTCCTTGTCTGCTTTTGGTATCAGGGTGATGTTGGCCTCAGAGAATGAGTTAGGAAGCATCCTATCTTCTTCAATTTTTTGAATAGTTTGAGAAGGATAGGTATTATATCTTCTTTGAATGTTTGGTAGAATTTTCCAGAGAGGCCATCTGGTCCTGGACTTTTGTTTTTTGGGAGGCTTTTGATTACTGTTTCAATGTCCTCACTGGTGGTTGGTCTATTTATATTCTCTCTCTTCTTGATTCAGTTTTGGGAGGTTGTATGATTCTAAGAATTTCTCCATTTCTTCTAGGTTGTCCAGTTTGTTGGGATATAGCTTTTCGTGGTACTCTCTTATAATCCTTTGTATTTCTGTGATATCTCTTGCAATTTCTCCTCTCTCATTATTAATTTTATTTATTTGAGCCTCCTTTCTTTTTTTCTTGGTGGGTCTGGCTAAGGGTTTGTCAGTTTTGTTTATCTTCTCAAAGAACCAGCTCTTAGTTTCATTGATCCTTTCTATTGTTTTTTTTTAGTCTCCATTTATTTCTGCTCTAATTTTTATTATTTCCCTCCTTCTGCTGACTTTGGGCTTTGTGTTTTCTTCTTTTTCTCGTTCTTCTACGTTTAGTTTAAGATTGTGGACTTGAGATTTTTCTTTTTGTTGAAGTAGGCCTGTAATGCTAGAAATTTCCCTCCTAGGACCACTTTTGCTGTGCCCCGTAAGAGTTGGTAGGTTGTGTTTTCATTTTCATTTGTCTCCAGGTATTTTTTTATTTCTCCTTTGATTTCTTCATTGATCCAATGGTTGTTCAGTAGCATGTTGTTTAGTCTCCACAAATTTGTGATTTTACCAGCCTTTTTCTTGTAGTTCATTTCTAGCTTCATAGCACTGTGGTTGGAAAAGATGCTTGATAGGATTTCAATCTTCTGAAATTTATTGAGGCTTGTCTTGTTTCCCCACATATGGTCTATGTTTGAGAATGTTCCATGTGCACTTGAGAAGAACATGTATTGTGCTGTTTTTGGATGGAATGTTCTATATATATCTACTAAGTCCATCTGGGCTAGTGTTTCATTTAAGACCACTGTTTCCTTGTTGACTTTCTGTCTGGATGATCTGTCCATTGATGTTAGTGGGGTGTTGTGATCCCGTACTATTATTACTTTGCTGTCAGTTTCTCCCTTTAGGTTTGTTAATAGCTGCTTTATATACTTTAGTGCTCTTGTGTTAGGTACATATATATTCATAAGTGTTGTGTCTTTTTGGTGGAGTGGTCCTTTTATCATTATATAATGCCCCTCTTCGGCTCTTACTATTTTTTTTACCTTGAAGTCTGCTTCTGAGCCTATGTTTGTGTTTAGACCTGAGATGTGTTTCCTGGAGACAACATATGTTGGGTCTTGTTTTTTGGGTTTTTTTTGGTTTTGTTTTTTTGGAGAGGAAGGTTTGCCCTGAGCTAACATCTGTGCCAATATTCCTCTATTTTGTATGTGGGTCACCACCATAGCATCGCTGACAAGTGGTGTAGGTCTGCGCCTGGGATCCAAACCTCTGAGCTGGGGCTGTCAGAGTGGAGTGTGTCAAACTTAACCACTAGGCCACGGAACTGGCCGCTGTGAGGTCTTGTTTTTTAAAGATTTTATTTTTTTCCTTTTTCTCCCCAAAGCCCCCTGGTACATAGTTGTATATTCTTAGTTGTGGGTCCTTCTAGTTGTGGCATGTGGGACACCACCTCAGCGTGGCTCGATGAGTGGTGGCATGTCTGCAGCTAGGATTCGAACTGACGAAACACTGGGCCGCCTGCAGCGGAGCGCGTGAACTTAACCACTCAGCCACGGGGCTGGCCCCGGGTCTTGTTTTTTAATCCATCCAGCCACTCTGTGCCTTTATTTATTTATTTTTTTACTGAGGAAGATTCACTCTGAGCTAACATCCACTGCCAATCTTCCTCTTTGTATTTGAGCCACCACCACAGCATGGCCACTAACAGATAAGTGGCATAAGTCTGTGCCTGGGAACTGAACCTGGGCCGCCAAAGTGGAGCATGCCAAACTTAACCCCTAGGCCACTAGGGCTGACCCCACACTGTCTTTTGGTTGGAGAATTCAATCCCTTTACCTTTAGAGTGGTTATTGATATATGAGGGCCTAATATGGCCATTTTATCTCTTGTTTTCCAGTTCTACATTTCCATTGTTTCTTTTCCTCTGTCTTTCCGACTGCCATTTCAGTTTGGTGGTTTTCTATGATGGTTTTCCCAGTTTTCTCTTATTTAATGATTTGTGGCTCTGCTCTGATTTTTTGTTCAGTCGTTACCATGAGGTTTGTGTAAAACATCTCATAGATGAGATAGTCCATTTTCTGATAGCCTCTTATCTCCATTAGCCTAAGCAGGTTCCATCCCTCTCCTCTTCCCCTTCTCAGTAATTGTCACAAATTCTTCTTTTTTTGTGTTGAGTTTGTGACTAAATTGAAGTGTTTGTAGTTATCTTTGATGCTTTCCTTCCACTTATCTTTTATATTATGATTAAGTGTTTGCTAACCTATCCTGATAACTGCAGTTTTCTGATTTTGTCTGCCTAGTTATCTTCTTGCTCTAAGCTTTGTAAGCCTTTGCCTTTTGTTTCAGGTCAGAGGGCTCCTTTCATCATTTCTTGTAAGTCAAGTCTAGTGGCAATGAACTCCCTCAGCTTTTGTTTATCTGGGAAAGCTTTTATTTCTTGGTCAAATCCGAAGGATAATTTCACTGGATAGAGTGTCCTTGCCTGACAGTTTTTGTCTTTCAATACTTCGAATATATCATTCCCTTTCCCCTAGCCTGTAAGTTTTCTGCTGAAAAATTGCTGAGAGCCTGATAGGGGTTCCTTTGTAGGTTATTTTCTTCTGCCTTGCTGCCCTTAGTGTTTTTTCTTTGTCATTGGCTTTTGACAGTTTTAATATTATATGCCTTGGAGAAGGTCTTTTAGCATTGATGAACTCCTAATGGAGTCCTATTGACTGCATGTACTCTAAGTCCAGTTCCTTCCCCAGATTTGGGAGATTCTCAGCTATTATTTCTTTGAATAAGCTCTCTGCTCCCTTCTCCCTCTCTTCTACCTCTGGGATACCTATAATCTTTACAGTACTTTTCCTAATTGAGTTGGAGAATTTTCCTAATCCTAAGTTTTCCTAATTTCTTGAAGAATTTCTTCATTTTTTAAAAATCTTTGTTCTCTCTCCTCCTCCACCTGAAGCATTTCCATATTTCTATCTTCTAATTCACTAATTCTGTCCTCCATAAGATCTGCCCTATTTTTTTTTTATGGTTTCCACATTATTTTTTATCTCATTAATTGTACTCTTCATATTCAGAATTCTGTATAGTTTTTTTTCTTGAGGAAGATTAGCCTTGCGCTAACATCTGTGCCCGTCTTCCTCCATTTTATATGAGGGATGCCTGACACAGGATGGGTTGATGAGCGGTGCACAGGTCTGCACCTTGGATCTGAACCAGCGAGCCCCAAGCCACTGAAGTGGAGCACACAAACTTAACTGCTACACCACTGGGCCAGCCCCCATAGAGTCTTTTTTTAAGGGCTTCAATCTCTTTGGTGAATTATTCCTTCTGTTCATTAATTTTATTTCTGAGCACACTGAACTATCTTTCTGTATTTTCTTGTAACTCATTGAGTTTCTTTACAACCACTATTTTGAATTCTCTGTCATTCAGATTGTAATTTTCTGTAACTTCAGGTTTGGTTTCTGGGGACTTGTTATTTTCCTTCTGCTCTGCAGTGGTACTGTAGTTCTTCATGGTGTTTGATGAATTGATCCTCTGCTGGTGCATGTGTTGATGTCTATGAAATTTCATATCTTATCTGAGGCATTATGAAAGATCAACAGTAGGGGCAAAGAATATTTAAGGACATAATGTCTAATGAATCACGGAAACTTTATTATACAATATTAATATCTTATTTAGCAGCATACATTAGAAACAGATGCAATTAGGGACAAGAGGAACTCATTTTCATTGTGTTCCTGGTTTCTGTCAAATAGGATGAGTGATATATGGAAACTGTAAAATTTACCTTAGAAAACTCTGCTTGCCCAGATTGTGATTGAGATAAAGTTTAAAAAATGATACAGTATTTGTTGACTGTAAGTTTTGCTAGTTGTAAAAAGGATGTTTTAGAAAAGGTGGTTATGTTGATGTCTTGTGTAATCCAAATTATGTTCATATGAGCAATATTCATGTTTTTCTTTTAAAAAATTAAATGGGCTACTATTTATATATATTCATTGTTCCAAAACACTAAAACAGAAGTTAGGAAAAAAAAGATGAGCATGAAAATTCTCCTGGAAAACAATCTGTCACTCAGAAACTCTTATTTTGATTCATTTAAATGTGTTTGTATGTATGTGTCTTTCAGGGAAGGGCCTCCCTGGAAGAAGGCCAGACTCAGGAGCCATGCCATGCCCCCCGATCATCTGAAGCCCCATCTATGCCATACCTTAAGGCCACAAGTCTCTCTCAGCCCTGAAGTCCTTGCTGCTCTTTCTACCATCTGCTCTATCCAGCCACTTTCAAGTCTAGACTACTTGGTTTGTGCTTTTCTTTCCAGGATTGGTCCCTAGGCAGCCTCCTCGATGCTTTGGGGCAGCAAGAGTGGTTCCCCAGTTCTGGGGCCTACCTACAAAATTTCTGTGCAGGATTCAGTGGTCCAGTACCTCTTCTCCAGCCTTCCTTGCACACACCAGGGGTTTCTGGGCCTCTGGGGACTCTTAGGAAAATTTTGTCATGTCTCTAGTGGTCAGGCAGCCACAAACACTTGCAGCTTCCAGGATGACTTAGAATATGTTCTAGGGGCTCAGGCGGGACAAGATATCCTCCCTGAGCATTTCCTGTAGAAATTGTTGGTCTGGACATCGGGAGGGATACCTAGGATGTGAGGTGAGGTTTGGGCGCTGTTTACAGCTCCAAAGCCCTGAGCATGATGCTCTGACCTCACAGCATCTGTGAGACCTAAAATTTGCTTTGTAGAGCCTTCTTTGGATTATACAAGCTCAAACTGGTTCTGAACTGAGGAGTACCCCTGGAAGGAACACATTCAAGGTTGTCCTTCTAATGTCTGGCTTGCTGACCTCTCCTTGATGTGAACAACATAATAATTTCATGTATGTATACACTGTGAAATAATTGCCATAATTCAGTTAGGTTACACATCCGTCACTTCATATAGTTACAGTTTATTTTTGGTGTGAACTTTTAAGAGCTACTCTCTTAGCAACTTTCAAATATATAATACAGTATAGTTAACTGTGGTCACCATGTTGTACATTACATTCCCAGAACATATTCGTCTTATTACTGGAAGATTGTGCCCTTTGACCACGTTCATCCATTTGCCCCAGCCCCCCTCTGCCCAAAGCAATGATCACTTCACCTAAGTAGGTCTGGAGTCGGGGACCTTTTCCTCATTCCCACAAAGGTGCTGTATAGTCTAGTTGGGACCCTGAGACCACTGGAGAACACATGTGAAGGCCACCAGGTATCTCTTGAACCACTGGGATGCACTGGGAAATATGACATGGTGTTTACTCATTTGAAATTAGGATTCTTTGGAGATTTCTGTTCTGTTGAGAAGCTCTGAGAGTCTATGACACATTGGGGCAAGATGACCTAGGAAAATGGCCTTCTACGTGTTTGGAATCCAGATGTCACTCATCTGTTGTTTTCCAGGAATTAGGTAATTTCAGTTTTCCCTTTGGTATCTCTTTCTACCAATTACAAAGCCAGCTCTCACACTGATTCCATAGATGACATGACAATTATGTGCCGTGAGGAACATGAGATGACAGCATCCCTTCCCTGTAACCACATTTTGTGGCCCCATGTCACATACAGCTTCACTCCAAAGCGCCAGCTGGTGTCTATATCTCAGCGTCATTGACAGTGAATGCTCAAGACTCTAGATGGGTAGTTAGATGAGACAGGATTTCCTTAGTGCAATGTTCAGTTCTCATAATTTTGGCCTTAAGCCTCATTGAATTATAACTTCCAACAGTAGATGTTTTCAGATGAAAAATAAATGTCATTAATCTTATGAGAACATAAATTTATAGACTTTTTGAAGGAATTTTTTTCTGTTCTATGTGAATTTGTATTTTGACTTTTTCTAGTTTGAGTAAATTATCTCAACTACAAATAGTTTATTCATTTATGTGAAATTTTGTTTTGTAAAACATGAGTCTGAATTAATCAGAATGATTTAGTCATAGTTCTTTGTTCTTTTAGATTTGGAGATATTTTTGTATGTTTCTAATATCTTAGGGCTGTTTAAAATTAAGGTGTCATAAGACATGTGATGTGTTCAACATTTTACAATAATGAGATTTTACCAAGTGACCAGAAAAATCATGTTGTTTCATTCCATTATAGTATTTGATAACAGAGGGATTTTTTTACTTGTTACCACAAACTATCTGTAAATATCACCTTCTGATGTTTATTAAATATCTGTACAGTTAATGACCACCTTATATGAATGAGGGCAAATAATATTCAGCATGATCTGAAATATTAACTTAAAATAATAAATTTACTTTTAGTATTTTATGTTTTCTTAATAAACTGAAACATAAAATATACTCTATATTAGCTTGAGATGTTTAGTAATGACAATAATTTGCAAAATTTAAGGACATAGCATTCTTATAAAACATACCTTCTAATTTAGTAATTCTGCCTTTTCCTTTGAAAGTTTCAAATTTTAATTTACTCAGAAAAACATATATTCCCAAAAAGTGACAAGTAAATTTCAATTTAGTTGTTGAAACTCACAAGTCAACATTGTCTAGATTCAGTAGGGTTAGTGTCTTCTAGTGTCTTTAAAATGGAAGACAGAGAGGATAGAATCAGGATAGGTTGAAAACAGAAAAGAACAAAATGATGAGGACAGAAATTGTCTATCTGTCATCCATGAGGACACCAAAACCTCAGGAAACTTGAAAAGTGGAAAAAGCCTCTGAACATTAGAGAAGTTTTAGTTTGTTGAAATACACTTCATGTTGAAAGTCCCTGCATTTCAGGCATGTAGGAGGGAGAATGTCTGAGAGGCTGGCACTGACTGATCTTGAAGAGAGCACCTGATGCACAGAGGACATGTCCTCCGTTTCCTTCCAAATTCGATAACTGATGCAGTTGCTATGAGTCTTAACTTCTTGTTACTGTGATGCACAGGAAAATGATGGTAAAAGATGTTGCAGGCTTTTAGAGAAAAAGACTATTCTATTTTGCTCATATCTTCTTGGTTCTGGCGGTCAGTAAAGCACACTGCTAGGCAGGAGCCTTAGTGTTTCCAAAAATTTATAGCACATGACTAGTGGTGAAGCCCCTCTGCTGTCTTTCTCTCTTCTGCCTTTGCAATGATACTTCTCCTTCCCATGTTTTCCTCAGGAGCCCTAAGATTAAAATGTCTTGAGATTATGAATATCCTTGTCAGCGAGCATTTTGCCTCCAGCTGCACTCTATACTAAGTTAAATTGCCAAAGAATATTAGGTGCATTTCAGTGATTCAACAGTAACTTATACTCGTCATAATTATACTTATATTTCACAAAGTTCTTTTCATTGAACTGACTGGGTAGAAAGGCATTTTTCTTTCTGCAATTGTCAGCTGTGTTTCTCAAGTTACCAGTGACTGCTACTGAACCTACTAACACCCCTTCAGCAGGTCACCTGCAATTGTAACAACTTTTTGCTGTTGATGACCGTTCATTTACAAAAATGTTCATAGATATGGTGAAATTGAAGAAAATGATTTTCTTTTTTATTATAAAACAAAATGCACAACTTTATTTTGTGATATATATAATTATACACCATACAAATACAAAGAACTGTATTAAAATGGCATTAATAAAGTATACAACTCATAATATTATTATGAAGATGAGGAAACAGATTTCATCAAGCTTCATTATCTCCAAAGTCACATAGCTGTCTTATGCAAAATAGCACATGGGTTCTTGTAAATGGCTTCTTTCTTTCATTACACTTATTCTTTTTATTTCATGTGTCTGATCTAAAGCGATTTCCTGGTCCCTTTAATGGTGTTATTTTTGCAGTTTTACCCATGATTATGAATATACTTTGGGGCCTACAATATTTGGAATAGTCTATGGTAAACAAGCCGTGAGCATGAACTTGATGTGCATTGCCTGTCTTCTGAGAGTGCTCAGGAGTTTCCTCCTCATCCCAGAGAACCCCACTGTTTGAGATAGGCACTCAGTTTTATAAATTTTTAACTTGTCCTTTAGGACCCAGTTATCCTTTGTACTCTAACCAAACTACATGGCCTTTATGGGATTTTCTTCTAATCTGTTTCTCCCAAGTGTGTACCATGTTTTCAGATCCCATGATTCTTTTATAGTGGGGTTGCCACATTCACCAGTGAAAATACAGGATACACAGTTAAGTTTAAAATTCTGAAATCCAAAAAATAGCTTTTTAGTATAATTATGCAATGTTTGCATTTTTTCAAATTTAAGCTATCTTATTAACCATAGATATGGAATTTTCCTTATAAGTGCTACCAAAACATTAATGGAATATGGTATTCGATTTAAATGTTCGGCCAAATGTTCGGCCAAGAGTGATTTGCTGCTTACAAAGAAACACCTACTGTTACTTGCTAAGTAGAATGAACACTAAGGCATTAGAGACAAAACTGGAAGATCACTTACTTTCCAGTAGTTGATGTCTTGTCATTTGACTCCATAATTTTGGTTTCATGGTTCTCAAAATAAACAAGAAAATGCTTTGGTAATAATCAATAAGGATGTTTCAGATGTATTGAAACCCCCAGCTGCTGTTGCTGTTGGAGATGCTGGAGGAATGGGCGGCATAGCCTGCAATGCCACAGTTCCCCAGGCCCTGCCAAGGGAGTGGCTTCATGGGGCACAGAAGCAGCCGCGGTACTGCCCAAGGCACGGGGCACCTGAGAGGGGAACCTTCCTGCTGCCACCTGAAGTCCCATTGGCCCCTCTGCTGCTGCTGAAAGGTCAATCAGAGCCACGGGACCTGTGGATGTGGCTGTTGGCCACTCTGATTGGTGCCCTTGCCCCCTGTGCCTAGGGCCAGGCCACGTGCCCCTCTTAGAGCTTTAAGCACCACAATGAGCAGTCACATAACAGAATATGAACAACATACTGAGGCCCTGACCTCATAGGACACATCATGTTGTAGGAACAGCTGGTACGGACTAAATGTTTTGCAAAATCCTTTCATACTTTCTATTTATTAAATGTTGCAATGGAGATTGAGAGTCTAAGAATTCATTAAACAAAAAATAGGGCCTCATAATTTGGAGACAATGGAAAGTTTGTAGGGCTATGTAACTTTAAACCATTTAATTAAAATTGCTCTAGAATTAATGGGGCACAGAACTGTAAGAAGAGTTTAATGAAATGGAAAATGATGATCGAGACAATAAGAAAACACAGTGACTCTGTAACAAGTGGCCTGGGATGGAGGTGGAGGGAAAAAAAGGTTATCAGACACTGCAAGATATCCAAGACCAGGTTTGCCATATTGCCTTAACTCCTAGGAATAAAGTTAGTCATTGAAATATGTGATTTTTTTGAAGGGGTGGGTAAGAGAATAGCATATTCAAATATTTTCAGGTTAAAATATACAAAATGACTTGTGTGGGGAAAATTGAACACAAGAAACATATTAAGAGGTTTTAATTAGGATTGAATTTGTAGCTAATAAATATGAGAGTCATAAAGAAAACCAACTGGGTTTTGGAACTCTTCAAAAGTAGAATAGTCAGTGTTAAGCAATGATCCCAATTGGCCTGTTGAGGAGAAAGAGGCGTAAGGGTGGACCATGTATTCTGAACTTTGGGGAATGATTCTGTGGTGGAACCATTCACTGTCCACAGAGGATCTGAGGAAAAGGCATCTGGGGGTGAATGTCATGGTTCCTTTATTGGGGTGCAGGAGGGGCGCGGTTATTGCTGTTTGAATATCCATTTCAAGCACATTTGAATCACGAAATAAACTAGGATATTCTTTGACAATAGTGAAAAAGGTCAACAAACCTTTTGTGATTATCGTTAGATGAAGCACATGAAATTTATTAAGGATTCAAAAATTTGGAAAATAGAATGAACAAGTTTGACCTAATGGACATACATTGAACCTGGTGCTTTATATCACATTTTTCAGCACATGTGGAACAACTGAAATAAATCGATATCAAAGAAAGTTTTAACAAATATGAAATATATATGTTTTTGAGTGATTAACTTTATTATTTTTTATTTTATTGAGGTCACATTGGTTTATAACATTATGTAAATTTCAGGTACACATCAAATATAAATTTTTTTTTGAGGAAGACTGGCCCTGAGCTAACATCCGTGCCCATCTTCTATTTTATATGTAGGACGCCTACCACAGCATGGCTTGATAAGCAGTAGGTAGGTCCACACCTGGGATCTGGGCCTGTGAACCCCACCCTGGGCTGCTGAAGTAGAACGTGCAAACTTAACCACTGTGCCACCAGGCCAGCCCCTCAAATATAAATATTTTAATCAAAGGGATTAAGTTTGCTAACCATTAAGTAATAATACTTTTGAAACAGTACATTAAGGAATTTTAAAATATAAAAAACTTAAAAACTGGGAAATATTTCTAATGAATAATTAGAATTTTTTACACTAAAAGACAATGAAGATGCTTCATATAAAAGGTGTGCACTGTATTTGATTCAATAGTAGTTAGGGGAAATGAGATAGATGCAAATTCTCATACTAGAATAGTAGATTCCTAACAATATGTGTGTTAATGTCAGACTCTGGAATTTATAAATATAAACATATGATAAATGCAGCTAATGTATAAAGTATAATATTAGTAATAAAATTTAGAACAGATGTTCCATGCAATATAATAAAAATGAATAAAATTAGTACTAAAAAAAGGTTAGTGCAATGTTGAGAAAAATGTAAAAAGACACACAAACAATATTAAGAATGAACAGTAGATAAAACTGTTGCTAGAGATTTTTTAAGCCTCTAGGGACTAATATAAACAACCTTATACTAATAAACTGAGAGAAAAAGTGATTTCTGTTAAATATAGGATACCAAAACTGAATGAAGAAGAATGACAAACCGGAAAAACACAAATAAACTGTAAGTATTTGGAAGCAGTAACCAAAAGTTTTGATTGTTTTAAATGATCCTTTTCCCATGTTTTTAAGATTTTAAGATTCTTCCTTCAAATCTGTTGTATAAAGCAGTTACAAAAGAAAAGCCATAGAAAGATGTTGTGTGCCTATTGCACACATTTTACCAAATCTTTAAAACTGAGCCAATGTGAGTTATGAATTTGGACATAATATTAGTTTATAAGTATACAAAATGACAGAGAAAAGTTTATTTCAGACATACAGGATGCGTCAATAAGAGAATCAACTCAAATGAACCAACATAATCAAAATTAAATGAGATAACCACATTCATTGAGTAAATCATTTTATACGGATTGAAAAATTTTATAAGTAAATTAATTTAGATAAAATACTCTATCAGAGAACATTTTACTTGTTAGTGATCACAACAAATCAGGATACAGGAATAAATTATACAAATGTCCAATGAGCACATGAAAAGATACTTAGTAATGTAATTTGAACTTGAAAGTGTGATGCCTCCAGCTTTGCTTTTCTTGCTCAATATTGCTTTAGCTATTTGAGGTCTTGTGGTTTCACAAAAATTTTATAATTGCTTTTCTGTTTCTGTGAATAATGCCATTGGACTTTTGGCAGGGATTGCATTGAATCTGCATATCACTTTGAGTAGTATGGACATTTTAACAATATTGATTCTTCCAATACATGAACACAGGATATCTTTCCATTTATTTTTGTCTTCCATTTATTTCATCAATGTCATATATTTTTAAGTGTACAGAATATTCACCTCCTTGGTTAAATTTATTTGTAAGTATTTTATAGTTTCTGATGCTATTATAAATGGGATTGTTTTCTTAATTTACTTTTGAGATAGAGCATTGCTGGTGTAACAAAACACAATTGATTTTTTTTTTGGCAAGGAAAGATTCACCCTAAGCTAACATCTGTTGCCAATCTTCTGCCTTTTTCCTTCCTTCCCCACCTGCCCAAAGCCCCAGTACATGGTTGTGTATAGTTGTAAGTTCTTTGAGAGCTGGCGCCACAGCATGGCTACTCACAGATGAGTGGTGTGGTTCTGCGCCCGGGAACCAAACTCAGGCTGCCCAAGCAGAGCACGCCGAACTTTAACCGCTAGGCCATCAGGGCTGGTTCAAAACACAACTGATTTTTGTATGTTAATTTTGTATTCTGCAACTTTACTGGATTCACTTATTAGTACTAACAATATTTTTAATGGTTTCTTTAAGGTTTTCTACATGTAGGATCATTTCATCTACAGAGACAATTTTACTGCTTTCTTTACTACTTCAGTGCATTTTATTTCTATTGCTTGCTTAATTGGTCTGGATAGGACTTCCAGTACTACATTAAATAGACGTGGTGAGAGTAGGCATCATTGCCATCTACTAGAACTTACAGTTCTCCCCTTTTGTTGTTATGATCTTGGGTTTTTCATAAAGAGTCTTTACTATGTTGTGGTAATTTCCTCCTACACCTATTTTGTTGTTCATTTTTATCATGAATGGATGTTGAACTTTGTGAAATGCTTTTCCTGCATCTATTGAGATGATTATGTGGTTTTTCTCTTTCATTCTATTAATGTGGTATATCACATTGATTTGTGTATGTTGAACAAATTTTGCATCTCCAGTAAAAATCTCACTTGATTGTGGTCTATAATCTTTCTTGTTGTGTTGTTGAACTTGGTTTGCTAGTATTTTTGAGGACTTTTGAAGCAAGAGTGAACCCTAATGTAAACTATGCACTATGGGTGATTGTGATGTGTCACTGCTGGTTCATCAATTGTACCAAATGTACCAAACTTGGGAGCCTACCCCATGGCCAAGAGGTTAAGTTCTTATGCTCCACTTTGGCATCCCGGGGTTTACGGGTTCAGATCCTGGGCATGGACCTATGCACCGCTCATCAAGCATGCTGTGGCAGCATCCCACATAGAAGAATTAGAATCACTTACAGCTAGGATACACAACTATGTTCTGGGGCTTTGGGGAGAAAAATTAAAAAAGAAGAAGTTTGGCAACAGATGTTAGCTCAGGGCCAATCTTCCTGGTAAAAAAAGAAAGTACCTAACTGGTGGGGATGTTGATAATGAGGGAAGCTATGCATGTGCGGGGGCAGTGGGTATACGAGATCTCTCTGTACCTTCTCAATTTTGTCGTGAATCTAAACCTGCTGTAAAAAAAATTTTATTATAAAAAAATTTAATGGCATTAAGATCATCGTAGAAATAAATTGTGTTGGTATATAACAGATAAATGAAAAATAGTGTTAAGTAACTGTGTTAGAAAGTTTAACTAGTTAAGAAGATGGACAAATAGAAAGCATTTATGACCAGTAATCACAGGATATACATTGTTTTCAAATATCAGAGAAGATTTTTAAAATGGAAAAGGTTTAGATCTAAAAAAAGTGAATAACGTCATGAAAGCAGAAATCCTACAGGTCATAATTTCTTGCACTATGAAATGACAATAGAAACTACCAATTAAAGTGCAACCAACAAATAATATCTAGTAACATACAAATTTTATTTAAGATCATTTTAAAGAACTATTGGATTAAAAATAAAAATCAAACTGAGGTTATTTTACAGAGGCAATGGTGTGCCAAGGAGGAATCATGGCAACTAGAGTCAAAGGACCTTTATATAACTCATTCTACCAACACTAACTTAATGCTCTAGAAAAGCATCAATTCTGGCCATGGACAGGTAGTATTCACTGAAGTAGAAGATTATAAATTCAGAAATGCACTCAAAATACAAAAATAATTTCCAATATTAAGAAAATAATCACACTATAAGTAATTAGAATATATGACAAATTGGGGCAGTTCAAATCAGGAAACCTAGGATGTCTCGTGAGATACTATTGTCTGCTAGAAAATATCTAGGCAAAATATTTTACTCATCTGAACAATATGGGTGTTTATGCTTTTAGAGAAAAATAGTATATATTCCAATAACTATTTTAATGCGAGCAAGTAAAAATCCTCAAAAAATGCAAGAATCCTTAAAATGGCTAGCAGAGTGGAAAGGAAAATTTAAGAATTTCCCAGGTCCAGAAATGATTCAAAAGAAATATTCAGAAAAGTAATAAAAGGAAGAGGCCAGTGTTCCCTCAGGATACTAGCTGATCACAAGACAAGATTGATCATCTTGTCCCAGGTCAACTGGAATAAACAAGTAAATATACTGATTTGAGATATCCAAAATGTGAGATTTCCCAAATGTAAGAACCAAATTATGAATTATGAAGCACAGAAGGAACTATGCTACCAGAATGAAGGGTTACAAGATATGAGATGTCACAT